AGACATTCTCCGCTTGTTTCGATTCCTGGAGATTTTTATAGACGAGAAATGAGGCTTGTTTTTGAAGCCAGTGCCATTTGGGGGTGTACTATTTGCATTTGCTTCCTCCCGAGGCCTTCTCTCGCCTTTATGCTTGGGCTATTGCGCGCGCGTCCGCAAGGTGTCGCTCTGTAGCCGCAGATCGAAGGATGGAGGGCTTATGGATGTTTCTCGGCTCTGCTCGCGTGTCTCTCAGCCGGGGTTGGATGCACATGCAGCGGGGAACATGCGTGGAAAGACTCGCCCTGTATATATTTCCTCCGGCTGAAGCTATTTGGAAATTTTTATCCTAAAACTTGTGTGAGAATTTTTAGTTTTTTTGGCAAAAGTTTACGACTAGTTCACCCCAATAAATGACTAACGCAGCTATTAAACAAGATGACAGTGTTTTAAATAAAATAATGCGGGTGGCACGTTTTGCCAAGCGTTATCCATAAACTGTTGCATTAGACTGATTGTAAGCGTTTTGTTGAATGGTGAGACATTGACGAGAACAATAGTCCATTCATTAGACATAATAAAAAAGTAGGACCCATCTTTTCCTTGTTTTAAAATCTTAAGAATCTTCAGAAATATGTGAGTGTTGGCATCAATTAGAATTCTGTTGTCTTGAGTCCACAGCGTTGCCTTCGAGTACTACAGTTAACCAAACGTGGCTCGCATTCCTCTAAACAGGCCCATGCCCGTAAAGCGTTGTTTTAATCCATCTATTCCAGTCCATTCTACGCCGTGCCAATCCAGCGCACATTAACCCAAGTGCATTTGCATAATCTTTCAATGCTGGAAAGTGAGTTACAAATAAGATTACAGCGTGGGATTATTTTTTTTTTCTTTCCAGCCCAGTGCGTAATGTTTCTCAGGTCAGTGAGAAAGGAGGAACTGATACACTGGAAAAGGTAATTCATAGACATTAAAAATACATATTTACTCATGCTTCAAGTTTTGTGCTTATTTGGGGTGTAAGTAATTTGAGTTTTAAGTCAAATTTAACAGTATTTTTTTTATTGCAAAACGTGAAAAAAGTGGCGTTGATATGAAATCCCTGGCTAAATAACATTTTTTTTGTAAACAAGGCAATCGGCATCATTTTTAATGTTATGATAAACGGTGAATTTATGACGCAATAGACCTTTAAAACTAATTATTGACATTTTTCATCACCAAATTATTTTCATTCAACAATTTTCTTTTTTCTAAAATTATATTCTTTCTGAAATATGCATATTCCAATTATAAGGTAATATTGTTGAATGATTAAAAAAGTAAATGGTAAAAAGCAATCAAAAAAGAATAGTCAATTACTGCCGATTAATCGATCACTTTCTCGACCAAAAGAGCGTGCGCAAATTCAGAATCATTTTGAATACTCCAGTTTTTTCCCCTTCTTTCTTTCCTGTGTGTGTTTGCCTTGAAATGGATCCGAAATAGCCACCACCACCACCACCAAATCCCCCTCTCTCCCCCCTAATGAAGCCAAACGCAGCTGGCCCCGTCCCACTTGGACACCGAGCGCTTTAACCCTCACCTGACCCCAAACCCGACACCCGCAGATGAAACTGTACCGCGCACTAATGCCATCCACTGATTTGCCTCTTGTAACTTAACTAACCACCCACTGTACGATGTCTGTTTGGCGACGCGTAATCGGAATACACGCGCGTAATCGGAGTGTCTGTTTAAATAGCTATCTAAAAAGGGGTTAATTAAAAAGTAAGTGTTTGGACTGATAACTTTTATTTATTTATTTTTTTCAAATTTATGTTTTATGCTACGTTCCGAGGAGATGTTTCCAATTCGAGAGATATTTAGTTTTGAGTAATGGCAGCAAGGATTTTTAAAGTTTAGGCAAAGGGTTAATAATGAAACAGAAACAAGGATTTTTTTATTCATCTTGGTAAAAAAAAATATTTACTAAGAACAATTGGGGAATCATATACAACGAATGTATTTTAAGTTTAGGCCAAATTGATCGTTTTCATGAATTGGTAAAGATTCGAACGGATATGGATTTGAATTCCATTTGGTCCAGGTGTCACTTTTAAAGACTAATTTACTTTTGCGATTTTGTTTAATTTTTTTCGTATTTGATTTACCACTTTTTGTGTTTGTTGTGATACGCACCACTTGTATATCAGTCATCGCCATTACGCATAAGGACGTACCCGTGCAGTTACTTTAAATGCAATTAATAATACGGATTGAGTTTGGTATCTGGCCACTCTTACAAACCGCACACATTACTGACTTTCATTTACTGCCCATATGAATACATCTCACTCAAAAGATGTGGAATTCCAGCGTGTAAAGCTCCTTGGCTTTTTCTCCCCTCCATCGTCTGCTATGGAAAAGGCTTCAGATTGGACACGCATAATTAGGCTGCTATTTTCACACGCTCCTCGCCTGTTTACATCACTCCTCCTTGGGGGCAAATCACATATTACCACGAGGAAGGAACCGCATGAAAGAAGAGTTAAAAAAGTATAATATCCATGCGTAAAACCAAAGCTTATCTATCCATCTATTTGTGCGTAAAAGTTGGGTTTTGGTATCAAACCAATCGCAAATCCAAATACATTTGGTTGGAATAAGATAATCTTACATGTATGTGTCTCACAATGCGTTAATAAAGTTAGTTTTAAGATGAAATATAAAACAATAAACAAGATTACGCGATAGGAATCTAAACTATTACGCACGGAAAGGGCTTGGAGACTACTCACCATGGAATCCCAAATAAACATAAGTTAAAAGTAAAAAAAATAAGAAAGAACGAAGATTCTAATTCCATGTTGGTTACAATTTGGTGGTCATTTGCTTGCTTGCTTGGTGGCTGGCTGGCTGAACTCGCGTCTCCATGGCTGGGTTGAACGCCTTGCCTTATGCGCGCTGCGTCTGCCCCTACTATATGCCTTTCCCTTTCGCCTTTTCCCTTCCCCGCTCGCTCAGATGTCCACACGGCCGTTTGTCAAAGCCAGCCAGCCACACATGCGCGCACGTACACACCCCACAGCTACAACAAACACCCCCTTGTCACGCGTTCATTTATTAAATCTAAGAGAAAAAAGTCGCTATCTTTTGGATTCGCTTTGACCCTCCACGCGCCCTCCCTTCCACCTATAAGCAACCACGTCTTTTATTATTAGTATTTTGCTTTGTACACCTTGAGAAAATACCCCACTTGTTTACGAAGCATTAATGGTTTATTAGATGGTTTTAAAGGGGGGAGAGAAGCGGCCAAACCCCTCCCGTTGTAAGGGGGAGAAAAAGAAGTGTGCAATCGATGCCCCTCCCTCTGCAAAGGCATGATGGATGACCCTCACAGCCAGGCAGTGTGGTGGTGGTGGTGGTGGGGGGGGGGGGGGGTTAGGTGGGTGGCGCGGTGTGGTGTGCTGTACTGTGGTGGGGTCTTTGATAATTGAGTGAGGATTGGAGAGGGACGTAAATGACTTTCACTGGCGATTTGGTTGAGGGGGGAAAGTCTAAGAACTTCTCTAGAATAATTAGTCATGAGAGTCGTTATTAGCGTGGACAGGGCAATCGACAAGTGGTAAATAATATGTGATTCATTTAATGGCATGTTTAGACTGAGTGAGAAAAGTCAATTGCGCGCGTAAAAGTGGTATATATTTTGGAGTGCGGCTTAAAATGGCTGACCGGTCTATTTGAACGTCCAAAACTTCACCGTTAGTACACAGCTGGCGTGCAAAAGTGTACAGTGTACAGTTGCTGTGTAAGATAGATCATATACGTAATTGCAAATGTGTGATTTTAAGTGCGTAAAGTTATACAAAAACCAAGGCGACTTGATTTGAACACGTATAGGCCACAGATGAAGGCTGCACACCAGGCTCATGTTGTTGATAGACATCTCTGTGCGTAAACTTGCTCATAAAACCAAAAGGAAGTTGCTTTGAATGCAGCCACAAATTATGCAAATAGAATTGTATATGTGATTGTGATTTGTGTGCGTAAAAGCTGATGACAGAAGGTGTTACGCACATTAAACTGCAGTTTGGCAGTATATAGAGGGATGTTTGTGTGTGAAACTCTATGAACGCGCAGTGACCCGCAAAGATTTAAGTTAGAAGTCAATCCAAAACTCTTGGTTTAAATCTAACGCGTAAAACCCTTCCGTATATTCAAAGTAAACTAACATTCAACGCACACAAAGCCACGGCTGTCCTAAGTTTATATCAATATAAACCTCTGTATACATTTATAGAAGCCTTTTTCCTGTGCGTAAAGTTGCATGGCAAGGCAAAGGCGAGCTGCTATTCAAAGCAGGTCGTGTTCAGCCACAAGACTGAGCCGATATAGTCCCAACGCATTCACCAACGCGATTCATGTGCGTAAAGCTGCATATAAACCAAATGGTGACTGTCTTGAGTCCGCAGAGAACCACCAATGTATATAATTGAACTTTTATACATACTGAGCTCCAGTGCATTCACCAACTCGATGCGTGCGGGGAAAGTTGTTGTTAAATGCAGAGCCGACACGCTTTGAATACATATGACACAGAGGACCTCGCTTATGTGCGTATGGATGAGACCAGAACAGCTTTTCTTGGCTACATATGACACATAGACCTCAGCGTATGCGCGTAAAATGGCACGAATGAGACCCGAAAACTCGCTGTGAAGTCGCGAATGGAGCAAACACGGTCAAGATATACACGAGTTTAGAGTGGAGAAAACGCACAGACGGAGCCAAAGGCGCGCGTAAAAGAATAAAAAGTACTCGGAGAGACGCCATGAAGCCTTTCTCCAACACAAAAGCAGCGAAGAGTGGACTGGAGATGGTGAATTCGCCTCCTGCTCTGCTCTGCTCCCTGCCTGTGTCTGTGTGTGTGCGCGTGTGTACGTGTGTGTGTGCGTAATCTCTCCCCTCCGCGCGCACTGGGAGCTCGCTCTGCTTTCTGCCTCGCGACTGGCTATGGCCGCGTCCACTTCCGGGCTCCGTCACTGCATGCATTGCCTCCTCTTGAGCTGCGTGTGTAGTAGAAGCAGCTCGCAGCCCAACCTGCCAACACGCAGCTGACACTCACTCATCTCCCGGGCCAGCCTCAGCCTCAGCCTCAACGCACGGGGATAGTGGCTATAGCTCACGAAGCGCAAAAGAAAAAACTCCACGGAAAAGAATAGAGCGATCCACGCACGGAGGGATGAAGGCGGACTTTGAAAAAAACTGAAAACTCACAGCGGCAGCAGAGCGGGCGCGCGCCTCAAACTCCACCAACATCATCGCATCGCAAGAGCAGTCATTCATTCATTACCTTGACAAGCTCTGGCTTTGATTGACAGCCCGAGTGGCAAAAAGCCATGAGACGCGACAGTTTAGTTACACGCAGCTTGTCCGTGGCCCGATTGTGAAAAAAAACCCCTGCACGTTTTGATTCTTGGGATAATTTTTCAGCTTTTTTTTTGGGGCTGAGCGCGCGTGTGTGTGTGTGTGTGGAAACTTTACGTGGAAGACGACAGAAGACAACGAAAATTACGCAAACATCCCCACAAGGCTTTTCTTCATGCTGAGGACAGACACAAGTTGCTTGGAATAGGGGCAAATCTAGGTGTAAATCTTGCGTCGCCGCAGCCAGAACGCGGGATATTAAATAAGATTTGGATTGAGGAGTTTGCTGGTGCGCAGGCTCATGGCACAAAGGGTAGGTGGAACTGTTTCGCGAAGCCAGAGCAGAGCAGAATCCCAAGCCAGGACTATCCACAGCTCGTAACATGTTCTTGGTCTGTTTGGCGAATTGTTTGCGCACTTTTTCCCCAACCCTCGACTCGGATTTCAAAGCATTTGGCAAAGGAATCCGAAATTAAAAGCCATTTTTCCACGACATATATACAGTTTTTCGTGTAAAACCAGCGCGCGACTTAAACCTATGCGCTTGCGGGATTGAACAGCAGCTCGGGTTTCAGGCGTTATTATCCGCTTCTATAAATTAAACCATTTACGTCCCTATGCGGTGAAAGTCTCCTCTCAGATAACCACGCTCCTGGACACGTTTTAGAAGACTATTAAAAGCATAATTCGCGCGATTGATCGTCCAGCACTACACAAGCCTGTGCCACGCGTAGTGACCGCTGATATGGACTGTTTTTGATTCGACTTTTGCCCGAGTTAATCTAGTTTAGAGCTCGTTTTGATTATACACGTTCAGACAACAACGCCACAGTACCACGCGCGCTGCAAAGTTGAATTGTCAGTTGAAATCTGGTGGTTTTTAACAGATTTGTTTGCTTATACGAGCTGGGATTTTTCTCTAGTTTGAAGGCATTTCTGACTAGTTATAAGGAACTGGATTTAAGACATTATAGACAATTTTTCAACGCATTTCAGTCTGAATGTGTGTTTAATTGTCGGGCATTTCTTCAAACGAGCCAAATAATCCAGCTTCTTTAAGTGAATAGAACAGAAAACTTACAACTCCTAAATTCGCATCATCTGGAAATCCATTTTTGCAGCGTGGACGCGGTGTAAGAAGCAATCTTAAGCCCCAAATTCTACCCAGATTTCCGCGTACTTTCGCTCCCCGAGCCCGTGCCCGTCTCCAGTTATGTTGGGTGACCGCCTGCACTGTGTCTCTTCGCAGTACGATGAGCTGGCCCACTACGGCGGCATGGATGGCGTCTCCGCGTCCATGTACGGGGACCCGCACGCGCCCCGGCCCCTGCCCCAAGTGCACCACCTCAACCACGGGCCCCCCCTGCACGCCAGCCAGCACTACGGAGCCCACGCGCCGCATCCCAATGTCATGCCCGCCTCCATGGGCTCTGCCGTCAACGACGTGCTCAAGAGGGACAAAGATCAGATCTACGGGTAAGAAGAAGACGAGAAGCCAAAGGAGATTTTCAACTTATTTTTTTATTATTATTTTTGAGGCTGCTTTCATCGCGTTTTGGTGAAGGATTTTACTTGATTTTTTGGGAGTTTCATCTATGCGTAATTGGTATAATCAATCCCAAGCAAGTCCATGTTAATTATGCCATGTTCTATATCATTGAATTCACCAAATGCACGCGTTTTCTTTGGGAAAAGGATTTTAATGTATTTTCCATCTGCAGTGTGCTGTCCCATGCGTAGTTTAAATTGTATTATAATAACTCATGCCAAGCAAGTAAGTAGCCTACGCATGCACTGTAAAAAAACAAAAAAAAGCAAGAAAAAAGCTTTACTTTTTTCTAAATGAGATGAAATGGCTTGGATCTTGGATTAGATTTGACGAGTACATTTACAGGAAACATTTTGATCTAAAACGTTGAATTTGAAATGTGGTCTTAAAAATGCTAACCTTCTTTCATTTGTTAATATTTTTTAATTCAAAACAAACCAAGTGCATATAGATATATAATGCAACCCATATATAGATATTTATGATATTTTTTTGCAGTGTATTACATTTTACCATTTTGTTTACGTGCTTTTGTAAAACAAATGATTGCATGTTTCCCCCTATTTCAGTTTTAGAAGCGACAGATGCAAACAAAATTCTTTCGCATTAATTAAGACAAATTTGTAAGTTTAATGCACATAGAGCTATAGCTGCTGCAAATTCTAATAAGTGAACAGTCTTTGTGCAGTAGTTGAGTTGAAGCGGAGGACACACACACTCTCTCTCCCACACACACACACACTCGCGCATTTGTTTTATATGACTTTGGACATGGTTCGTATATGACTTTGGCCGTTTTGGACTCCAATTGTCCTCACGCTATTCCCAAAACTTATGAGCTGTATTTTTAACCCTGGCTTTTCCCTCACACTTCTCAAATGTCCACTTTTTCATGCACTTTATTAAGTGTGCTAGCGCGTGAGAAAATAATTCAAAAATCGTGTTACAAAAGCGTGAAAATTACAAACGTCTTCGTACGTTTTAGCGCGCGTAATTAGTCGTACATTAGGGTGATTATAATTTATGATTGGCGTTAATTGCACGAACCCTCTGGCAACAGTTAGAGCCCATAACGCGTTTTAAAACTTGTATTTGTTATTACTTTACTCCGGCCTGTGAAGAATACAACCACAGCTCCAGTGCGTCTCACAGCCTGTGTGTAAAATTTAGTTTTTACGCACGCGTTTGACTCGTATTTACCAAAAGGAAAGGGCTCCTAGTGTGTCAATATATGTTATGATGTTTCCATTGTAGTTATCTATATTCAAACTTTCACAACAGACGTGTAATTAATATTAATATCCGACAAATGTTTTGAAATCTCCAAAAGACAGTGCAAAAATAGCCTCAACAGCGTGTGTGTGTGTGTGCATGAGTGTGTGCGTATAAGTAAGGCTTTCAATTGGATTAATTATGCAACTATAGTGAGAAGGAAGGCGTATCAGATGTTTCCAGTCAAATTTTGCAAGGTTTAAATGTCCCACATCTTTTTTTTTTTTTTTTTTAATACAAGTTTATCAGACAAGAACTTTGGGAATATTGACTGTCTTGTGACTCTCCCGGAGACTGGAGCGACCCATAGCGCTGCTTCACCCCGCCTATGCCTCTCTGTGTGTCTGTTGCAGCCACCCCCTGTTCCCGCTGCTCGCTCTGGTGTTCGAGAAGTGCGAGCTGGCTACGTGCACGCCCCGGGAGCCCGGCGTGGCGGGGGGAGACGTGTGCTCCTCGGATTCCTTCAACGAGGACATCGCGGTCTTTGCCAAACAGGTCCAAACAAACTCCTTGGAAAAATAATAAATGGGGGAGAGGGGTGTGCATGGTCTATGGTGATACTGTATGGACCTGTGTGTAGTTTGGAATAGTATAGTTTTCTATGGAGAACTGGGTTGGATGTGAAAAGTCTTATAAAAACGGTCAAAGACATTATTTTATTACACTTTAAGATAATATTAAAAACTATAAGCTACGGTTAATTTTGTGATGACTTTGTATAGTTAGTGATTGCAGTTTGGAAAGTATAGTTTTTATGGCGAAAACTGCATGTGAAAATGTGTGAAAATTCAACAAATTTATCTTCAACGCGTGTTTCTTCTATCTGGTTCTAGGTGCGGGCAGAAAAGCCTTTATTTTCATCAAATCCAGAGTTGGATAATTTGGTAAGTGCATCTCTTTCCTTCATCCATCATTGCGCACGGCTTGGTTTGAAATGCATAAAAGTTTAAAGTACAAAGTTGTTATAGACTCGCTTATTGCCACAGTAACTATTGTTCCCTGGACCCACCGCTGTGTTTGAGATTACTATAGAATAAGTTCTTAAATGCTGTTTTTTTTTCTTGTGTTAGAATGCACTCTGAGTTGCCTTGTGTATGCATGTCTTATTTACAACATGTGTTGGATACAGAATGCCTGAATAACACAATTTCTTGTCTGCTCCCCAGATGATACAAGCCATACAAGTATTACGATTTCACCTCTTGGAATTAGAAAAGGTAAGCACATATTATCTTTCTTAGTATTAGTCTTATACGTAATTAAATTGCACGTTAATCCATCTGTATGACCATTACGCCTTTCATCTTTAAACGTGATATTGCACTACGTAGAATTCGTAAATGCTCCAGATTTTAACGTTAGAAACTCAGTCTATGTATCCCCACTAAGTTTTACGCACACAATCTGTTCACATATGTCATAGTGCGCGTATAACTTGCATATAGGCGCTTTGGCACACATTTCAATCCATATATGTCCCCCCGTTGCGCGTGGCTATCGATTGGCATATTTGGTTCCTTCCTCCCTCTCGCGTCTGTATGTTGGTTTTTGCCTCGTCCAAACTTGTTGCTGCGGTCCCTGAGGAATAATAACCCCTGCAACTCTCCTCTGCCTATTGTTTCCTCGCCCGCCGCGGCCGCTGCTAATGCCCCGTAATTACTCCTTGGACTTGACTGCACTGCTCTCTTAACAAACACAAAAAATGCATCTATTGTTTTTCTCTTTTCCTCTTTCTCTATTATTCTGGGGACACTAGGTGCACGAGCTCTGCGACAATTTCTGCCACCGGTATATCAGCTGCTTGAAAGGGAAAATGCCAATAGACCTGGTCATAGACGAGAGGGACGGTAGCTCCAAATCTGACCATGAAGAGTTGTCCGGATCTTCGACCAACCTCGCTGACCACGTAAGTGAAAAAAAACCCACATTATTATTAGCATTGTTTTATTTTTGAAAAACGGCTGGTTATGTGAAGGCGTTATTAATCTCATTAGCTTTCGTTATATGGCACATTTTGGCACACACTGTGCAATTCCCTTGGGGTCAAAAAGCTGGTGTGATGGTTTTGGATATTGTTTTAAAGTCAGGCTTTGATTGAGGATGGATGAGGTGGGGGCACACGTACTCGTGTGCGCGTGTGCGTGGGTATTGTCTGGGTGTGCGCGTGCATGCGGCGCGCTCTCGTATAGCTCGCTGTGTTTGCTAAGGGGAGGGGGCAGCCGTGCGTAATCTGGAGTGACTTGGCTTGCTTTTCTGTGCATCCACGCTGGATTGATTTCAATGTGTGAATGTTTTAAGTAAAGGAAGTCTTGTATTATGCTTTGACAATGTTTTATAGAGGTGTGTATGTGTGTGAGAGAGAGTGAGTGTGTGTTTGTGTGTGTTGTAATGCTGGATGTATATTAGGCTAAAACACTGACATAAATAAATAGATAATAGTAATTTTTCTTTTGCTTTATGCGCCTTGTCCCACGCTATTGTCTTCCTCATGTTCGGCTCGTCGCTCCAGGCCAAGGGGGCGTCTGTGTGCGCGCTTGTGTGTGTGTGTTTGGGTATGTGTGTGTATGTGTGTGTATGTGTGTGTGTGTGCGCGCGTGCGTGCGTGTGTGTGCGTGCGTGCGTGTGTGGGTAAAAAAGCCATAGTCTGGGGGCGTGTGTGTGTTTGAATATGACATTGGGCGGGACCGCGTAATACCCAAACTCCCTCTTTTTTACGCACGCATCAAAGAAACACATCTTGTAATGGCGCTGTTATCAGACGAGCTGCTGCCTTTTGATTTGGATTTCAGAGTCAAAAGTTCATTTGTGTTAACACTTTTTACGCTGGATTCTATACTCATATACAGGCCAACAACATTACTCACGCATGTGCATCGTCATTGTTTTTGGTTAAGGGCTTGCGAACTTTACGCACAAGTTGCTTTACTGTATAGGCCTATAGAGAGCTTTGTCTCTTTCCTTCGGTAAAAAATGTAAACAAACTATATGAAGCTTAATACAACTATTTTGACGACTCATTTTGTTTATCTTAAGACATCCACAAACAACTTTCCATTTGAACTCCATCAGAAATAACGAGCCCTTTGTTGTGCGTAAAAGCCAAACGTCATCAATTTAGAATCGTGCCAGTAATTCGAATTTCCCCAGTTGCATTACGTTGCCAAAGCCAGCGCAGTGGACTCGTAGTACAAGGTTAAAAAGCAGCTTAGACGAGTCAAGTTCTCGCACGCGTGATGTTAATGCGTTATAATTGTTTCCCCATCGATTGTCCAGGCGGTTTTCTGCTGCTGCTGCTGCCTGCCTGCCTTTCCCCCAGTGCCTGTGTCTGTCCCTCCTCTCCGCGCGTTTTTATGGCTCCAGGCATGGGCTGCGTAATGCTCTTGTCAATTGCACGCACCTGGATATAGCTTTAAATTTGAGAATCGATTTTAGTTTTCGTGCTCAAATCAGAGGTTGTTCTTTTTATTTGGTGATTATTGGCAAAGGTTATGCAGTGTAAAGGGGAGGGGGGGTGGATGAAGAGGTTTCTTGCTTTGGTGGGGTTAAGGCGGGAGTTTTATAGCAGAGTGGATTATGAAGTGCAGTAGTTAAAGTAGTGGTGGAGTAATATGAGTAAAAGTACTGTATTTTGACTTGTACTTCACTACATGAGCAATGTTATATAATGTAAAAGTGGTTTAAAGTAGTATTAAAGCATAAACATATATATACACATGATATATATTCGTGCTTTTTCATTTATTTTGATTTAAAACTGGGGTATCTAACTTTCAGACCACAATGATAGAACTAACTCTATGGTTCTATCACTAGTTTTCGCTTGCATGTATTTTTAGAGGACCAGCCTCACTTAGCAAAGCAAATCTCAAATAGTCAAATAGTGACTCACAGGGCTCTTTCTTACAGCGTGTGTTCTAATAAGTCATGAAGTCAGAATGTTGTCTGTTTGTTCACATCATTTTGCTTAAAGAGACGTTTTCTTGGGACAAACACGTGTTAAGAGTTTGATTATCGGACAGCAAATTTGTTGATGACCACAGTATATTCCAAATACGAAAGAGTTGATATATTAGTTATTACTTGTGTATTTTTTTTATATCTATGATGGTCCAACAATATTGTTATATTAATGTTCTTAATCTTATATGACTGTGTTTAAAGCGGTTTGTCAAAGCTCCTCTGTGTAACTTTTCTGGCCTCTGTCGCCTGATTGTTGCTCCGTAGATGTTCATGCTTTGCTCGGAATGTCCCCCGGTATGGTCTTCAACGTAAACAAAGTACAAATAATAATCACAGTTGTTTTCACTGAATTGTTGCAGAAAGCAGACTCGCCTCTCTGCATAACATGAGTTTGCTTTGACCATATGGGAAAAACATGAGAAATGAAGTTGGCGTTGATAAGAATGTGCCAGAACTCTAATCTAGTGGTGGCAGTGGGAAGTTCCAATTTAGATCCCAATCTGATATGATGTGGTGAAGTTGACAAAGCATAGTAAAGAATGTCATTTTGAAAAAGAGAAATTCTCAAAACTTTAGAATCAATATTTTTGTTGTGTTCATGACATCATAGTCTGAGGATTCATAACGGTGCAACAATGAAATATCAGTTAAAGTTCCTGGTATTAGCATGGAGCTACAAGAAATATAGGTTTTGATGTTTTTTAGTAGTAGGGTTAGGGTTAGGGTAATTAATTCCTAATTACTTATACAACATAACAAGATATAGAAGTAGAATTTGATGAAATACAGTTTGAGATAAGGGGATGGACCATGAAAATAGTCACTCACTTACACAACAACCTACGCACACACACACACACACACACACACACACACTCAAGCGTCACACTCTTTCTTACATGCTTTTGTCAGACTGTTAAAGACTGGATGAAATTGTGGATTTGCATATGTCTGCTTTCAGTATAAGTTCTCTGAGGATTGGAGCGTCCGTCTGCACGGACAAGTGCAGAGATGAGGCATGGCGTTGTTTATATTGGCCTGATTAGATAAAGCTCACTGTTTTTAGCACAAGGCAGATGGTGCAACGACGCTCCGGCCAACTCCGCCATGTCGGGCCCATTCTCACACGAGCCAATGCATACTGAGAGATTTGTAAACATTTGATAAAAGATTATTAATCATTTGCTTGAACTGACTGCATTTGTTATTTCAACGTGTGGTGACCTTGTGTGGTGGCTCAGATGGAGCAAACACATCAACATGAAGTGTACGGCGGCTGAGTATAAGCATTGTACAAGTATTGCAATTCAAGGTTTTTGAAATTGCCGATGAAGTTATGGAATAGTTGAATTAGTATAATTTTTAGAAGACTTTTGGATTTTAGTCATGGTTGTGTATGAAGTTAACTATTGTAAATTATTCTAAAAGTTTGAGGAACAATATTTTCAAGTGTTTTTTAATCTATAATTATGAGATTTCCCTTTTGTGTGTGTCATTGTTTGCCATAGTTACCCTTTTTAAAAACAAGTTCATTTCCACAACATAAAGAGTTGTGTAAGTTTTGCACACACACAAGTAAAGTGTATACATTATGAGAATGGGATACGTATATTGTATGTAGGGTTTACCGTCTTTTTGAAAGCCTTAGCGATAGTACTAGCAGTATTAGTTGTAGCAGTGCCGTCTTTTAAAAAGTAGTGGAGTAAATGGAAGCGGACTGCAGCGAGGAGGGTGCACCAAATGGCTCCTAATTCCGGACTATTTACTTTGGGACAGCTGCCATGTTGCATCCGAGCTGTTTTGACTTTCTGCTCCCAAGTAAAGTAACAGCAGCAGCAGCAACTCACGGCCATATTCTTCAACCTTTACTCATACATGTGCTTTTTACTTAGCGTATCACGTCTTACAATGCAAAATAATCTTTGTATTTTAAAGTCCTAAACTCCACAGGTGCCAGTCGGTATTTAAAAATCCACCTAAAACATACTGGAGCAGGTTTATGTAAGCAGACAGTTTTAATGAACACAATTAGACGCTCAGAACTTGTTTGGATATGATTTACGGCTAAAAACACGGAGTGTTCTGCGAGGGGGAGGTGACCAGTTTGTGGATGCAGCTAGAAACGACACCAGAACAGTTTTTTGCGGAGGGAACAATGGCCCTCATCACTGCTTCCGAAGCTACAACAAAACCATGCTGCCACCATAAGCTACATCACTATTTGAGCTATTCTTATTTATTTTCCCATCTTTTATTATGAATCTTAGTGTCTTGGCTTGCCGTCTGATAGTTAGATATGCTAATTTATTTAGTGTAACGCTCCCATACACACAGACTCTCCAACTCTCTCTTTGCTTTGATATGCATTTTTAATATACCGCCTTAGGGTACAACTCATTTTCTCTCCTCTTCTTCGGGAGATGATGAGGAGAATCTTGGCTGTGCATTATTTATTTAATTTGTTTCTTTTTTATTATTATTATTTTTTGGTTGAAAATGCCCCCCCTTTCCCTTCTCTGTGTACCTCTCCCATGGGCATTCTAGTAGCTGTCAGTGCGGACACCAAGATAGATGTCTTATGCTGGTCCACTGTTTTAGAATTAGATAATGAAAAATACATAGAACTAGTTAATGGGTGCATTAGAAAAGAGGGATTGGGGGCTAGCTTTTGAAAATCCCTCTAAAAAATATAGCATTCATAGGTTGCAGAATGTCTGTTGCAGATGGCAAGGCAAGTTTATTTGTATAGCACTGATCATACACAAGGGCTTAGCAAAACAAGAAATGAAACCAATGCCTAATCACACAAGGCATTCAATTCATACATAATCACAGTACATCAGAAATAGAGAAGAAACAATCCCTCAGTTGTATGCACAGCTAATCAAAACTGTTTTTAATCTGGATTTCAAAATTGTCAGAGTAGAAGCCTGTCTCACATTTTCA